TACAGCATTTGTTTTCCAATTGTGTTGGCATTGCAACACAGCATCCACATTCGCAACACTCTGGGACATTTTCTGGATTTTCCTCTGGGTCTGGTTGAAGCAGTGCACATGGCAATTCATTATTTAACCAAATCAGCAAATGTAGCTGGCTGACACTGTATAGGACATTTAGGCTGACGCTCTTAGGGCATTTAAAATTAAATCCATTGCTTCCACAAGATTCTGAAATGTAAAGATATTTATCATTAATTAAATGCAAAGACTCAAGCACAGTGAAACACTGATATTTTTACCGTAAATGACAGGTAAACTCTTTTTACATAATTTGATATTTTATTCGGCAAGGATATGCATAATTATACAGAGTATGTAATAAAACGAATCATATGTGTTAAAGCTTTCAAAAATGTACTGTCACTCAAATGTACACTGTATATGTCTGTGCATATTCTTGGCAAGCAAAGTATTAAACTATGTAAACAAAGTTTATTCATGTATTGTTAGATGATCATTTTCCTTCGTTTAGAGTGAACAGTCACAATGAACAACATTACATATTCTCAAATGAACATTGCTCAGGCCATTTTTTGCCTAAACGAAACATGTATAAACTACAATGAGCGAAAATAATAAGATTACATGTACATGTGTGAATCACGTTTATAACGAACAGTATAACGAACAGTGTCAGTACATAATAGCAATATTACAAACTCACCGTCTGGTCACTGTCACGTTCTTGAACCCTTCGATTGTTCATACATGTATCAAAATCCTATTCGTGGCACGCGCTTGAGCAAAAACTACCCATACTTTTGCAGGCTCTCTATCGAAAACAGAAGCCGCGACATGAACATATCGTCTCCACATACTGTATCTTCCAGCGAAAAGCTTAATTTCTCCGAGTGCTTCTGCCATGACAGCAACAATGACTCTGACAATGTGTTTCGACGAACAAATAACCCAAGGAAAGGTTCATGTTTACTTTGGCACTTCCAAAGTTTATTTTACAATGCCGAACATTATAAGAATACGTACAATGGGTTGCGAAAACTCGCACCCGGCACCTTTGCTGTGTCGGCCTCTTCTGGATATTTCATTAACGAAATACACGAAAGAAAAATGTCGAATTAATCAGCAACATATCTTCCATTGGTGGTCTGTTAAAATATTTAATTGCTTGTCTTTCAGAAGACAATTTTAAAAAAAATTAACTTCACTCCTGGTTCCTTCATTTATAATTTGTTTAGTGCATAGCTGTATACTTCATATTATACAATTGAAGTGGATCCAAACCAAAACAAAAGATGTAAACAAAGCACGCACATGCGCAGAATGGACTGTAACCCAGCTTTAATAGAGTATAGCCTCCAGCAGAAAAACTCTTGGATTCTCAGGCACATTAATTATATATTGTAATAATTTACTCCAGATCCAGAACAATTTTACTCTTTTTTGGGAGTTGAAACGACCCCTGGAGTAAAATTAAGGAGTACAAATTACTCCATAATTTCTACTCCTAAACGCGAGTTTAGTTTACTCCTCCAGCGGAGTAAAATTGACTCCTGATGGAGTAAATTGTGGAATGCGCGCCGAAGTGGAGTAGTTTTAATTCTATTTTGGGAGTAGATTTTACTCCACTATTTTTACTCTCCCGAGTTGAGTAGTTTTAACTCCTATGGTGGAGTTAAAATAACTCCTTGAAATTAACAGTGCTGATCTCGGTTAAGGTCCTGTCACACTATTGCGTATGAGAGAAACGTATGAGTAGCGTAAACCATGCATGTGCATGCATATACGTCCGCATACTCGAAAAATTTTTAACCATGCTTACCTTGCATGGTCCCCGATTTTTAAATAGACACCTTACGATTTAGGACAGCAACGGCTACAAATACAATAAATAATTAAAAAGAATTCAATAATTGCAATATAGGAATAATTTTAGACATTGTCCTCGCTTTGTTTACAACGCCAAATCACAGATTTTCACGTCTTGATACAACGGCTGCATTTCAAGCCGCAACAAGTGCAACTTCAAACTGGCTTCAGCAGAACTCTTCCCAAACATAAAACCCATTAAATGCATACGATTATACCACGAATTGTCTTTAGGCCACTATTTGCTGTATATATATATTAGTTTCTCATCCCCGCCCGAATGCTTTTTTAAGAAAATGGCCTTGTTCACCATTATTATTGCCATTTTTGACCATTATTATAAATTTTGTGATGTCTTCAAAGTGAAATTTGAAAGAAAGACAATTAGAAACGTTCCCAAACCAAATGTTATAGTTAACATACAAAATTTCATAACCAAACTGCAAGTTTTTCCCGCATTACGTACACACTTATTAAATATCCAAACTCAGCTATAAAACTCAGTTATGTTACCGGAAGCCAGGGGCAGGGCCGAAAAACGCCAGACGTTCTGGGTACAAAATTATGAAAACATGCTTTCAGTTGCACTTACTGATTTTGTGCTGTTTTCCAGAAAGTTGCTATATAAATGCTTAATGCGCACTGTTCTAAAATAAATTTTATGGGGAGGGGAAATCCAGCAAATAATGGCATAATCGTATTGGCCCGCCAGCCCGCATCCACTTTAGGAGAAGCCCCGGATGAGAAACTAATATACAACAAATAATGGGCTTAATACTACCATTTATTTGTGGGAGTTTGTTTTGGCCGTCGTCATCGCGTTGCCGTCCTAAAATCGTAAGGTCTCTAATAACCCCTCCGTGTGATCGTTAAATCACTTGCCGTTAGATGCCTCTATATATACACCATTTAGTTACTGCTTCGCCCTTTCAGAGAAATTACGACATGCAGTCTTGGTTCATTTATTTGTTTGAGAATAAGTTTCACTTTCACTTAATATATACGCTTACTACATGTTTCGTCGGTTTTAATATAGCCTAATAGCTCAAAGCAACAAGAAAGAAATTCTTTTTTACAGCAAAACGTTTTTGTATACCCAACCATGCATGTATTAAAGTTGATTGTTTATAGATTCTAATTTCGTACCTTGTCTCTCTATGCACATGAGAGCAATATAAATGTATAGTAGTACACTCATAGGCGTACGGGATTCATATATCTATTGGAGGAGCTGTGGTCTATATTGCCCGAAAATATTTGGGCCCATTTCTTGACTTTTCTTTGGGGGATTTTACCCTCCCCCCTCCCCCGAATTCAACAAGTTAAGATTGTAATGATTTTACGATATAAATATACTGTTAAGAAAGCGAAGAAAAACTTGAAATTACGCGTTGACCGACTTCAAGCGATGACGGGGATTACATATCAACCGCTTTTCACGCGAAAAACATTACTCTCTAATAAATTGTATAATATACTTTCTTCTAATATTCTCCTGTGATAGATGTGTAGATTCGGAGGAAATCGGTGCATATAGTTTTAGTTACCAAGATCAGTATGTTTACAGTACCTTCATACACTGATAAATAATAAAAAGATAATACCGGCGGATAAAATTAGCAACGCGTGCATGTCAATTTCAGTCCGCGGCACATGCGTCAGGACTTTTGCTCTATGTTATAAACCTAGAATAAATGCTGGCATATTTATAACTTAGTCTCTATCCAAAAAACAGCCATATTTGAAAGATAGTGAACAATTTTGTATGTTTTTAACGCGAAAAATTTAAGTAAATGCATTAACAAATTATAGCTTATAATTAGTCGAATTAGTGAAAATTGACTATATTCATGACGCGCTTGTCAGGCGAAAAACACACTGCCCAAAGATTTTATTATTTATTGTAGTAGATGTGTCATAATACTCAGTAGCTGCAATAGATTGGATACCTGATACCGTTGCACTTTTGAGAAAAAATAATTTACCGCCAGCATACTAACACGAATATTTAATCCGCTGTCTGAAAGACGTTTTTAAAAATACACAATATTTTGTTTGCTTCAAGTGACCAGCATAATTTTAGTTTAGGTTTATGCCTAGGCAGGAAATAATAAAATATGTAAGTTTCAAGAAGTTAGAATAAAAGCGCGAGATGAACTGTGAGATATAAAAAAGCTCAAATATCACTTGCATGCGTAATTAACGTTTTAACTTGTTTTCGAACGCGTCCGAAAATAATTGCGAAAAATTTTTTTAAACTGACTACAATTTCAAAGTCAACGTTTTTTGTTCATTTTATGAATGACTTCTTCCACACAGAAAGTTTGAAGGAAATCTGTAATCTTAAGAAATTCGAGTGGTCGGTTTTTACACGGACTGCCTCTTAAGCTGTTGTGGTGTCCCAGCTTCTTTAATGCAATTATTGTATGATGTTTGGAAGCGAAGCACAATAAATAAATAAATAATTAAATAAATAAATAAATAAATTAATAAACGATAAGCTTTCTTTACAATCGTTTATTTGAATGAGTTTGTTTTAGCCGCCGTCGTCGCTTTGCCGTCCTACATCTTAAGGTCTCTATTAAATACAACACAGCCGTTCTGAGTCAGGTTGTAAACAGCATATTTTGCAATTCCATATAGACAGTGGCGGCGAGTATATATTTTATCTATTACATCTAAACCACTAATAACTCATGATAAAATTAGTCAACCATGCATGCATGTTGCATTATTTTTCTCATATGATGACGATGATCCAGTCCTGGACTGAATCAAAAATCAAAATTAATTCAGTCAAAGGAATGAATCAGATTTAATGATTCATAAGTGTGATGTGTCATTTTTGACTGGACAGGATTTCAAGACCTCGCAGTTAGTTCCAATCTGAGGCTTCGAACAAACTCCCAGGATTTGGAATGTAACTCAATAACTTCATGTTCGTCTGTTCTAAAATTAATTTACTTATTTTATAAAAAGGAAATAGTCTAATGTATATCATTTAAAATTTATGCGATGAAGGTATTTCTTTCGCCATAACCAAAAATCAGTTCATATTTATATTTCGTTGCAAATCAAAGCGATAAATCGTCTTGCATTCGTAAATGCGATAATTCGCCCTATAATCCTTTCTGCCGACTGTTATCTCTTTGAATTAGGAACATTCGTGCTTCTTCGTTCTCTCTGTACTGTTTCCATGGGTCATAACCAGGTGTTGCCATCTTATTTATCTGCTCAGCCCGATTTCTTGTTTCCTGTAAAGATCTTACACGCTCTTTGAAACCAGGTTTAGCTTGCATTTCTTCTGATTGAATAAGAAGATCGAAATAATCCAGCAGCGCATTATTCTTCAGAGCAATTTCCGAGAGCCGCTGAAGGCAACGCTGCATTTCTGCTACAAACGAAAAAACAATTTCCTGAGTGCTATTAAATTCGTCCTGAAGTTGACTAATGAGTGCTTCGACATTGGTTTGCCCTTCTACTGCTTTCTGGTACAACGTTTTCTTGATGTCGTGCTCTTTTTCGACTTCCACATACTCCGTGACCTTCCGATATGTATCACTAACATGACGTGACCAATGACAACGATTGGGACATTCATGGCAGCTTCCATTGGTCATTGCTACACAACGTGCCTTGTCTTCACACCTTGGGATGGGGCAAGGGTAGTGGCATACATAATTGCAAACGGTACATACCAATGCATACGTACCAGTTTTCAAGGGCACTAGCACTCTTCTTTCTTCCCTTACAGTGTACTTGAAGTTCCTGTTGGCATTGATGTCGACGGCATGTTGGTCGAATATTCTCTTTTCTTGCTGAAGTCGGCTTAGAGTGTTTATTCCGCAGTTCATCTTCTCCTGCAAGCCACTTACTGTAACTTCTAATTGCGCTCTTTCCTTCAATACCTCCTTTGTCAGAACAAGGCTTTTGCTTTCCGTTTCATTAAGGCTTTTAAAAAACTTTTCGAAACTCTTAATTCCCATTGACCAGAACATTCGGTTATTAAACGTGAAAAAAGTCCCTTCGCTATCAAGAATTCCGGCCTCTTGCAGCGAGGATAAAGCCTGGGGCTGTTGGCCATCAGCAAAGGTAAATAGAACAGATATGTTCTTCTTGATATCTTTGCCAAACATTGATAGAATTCTGTCAAATACGTAGCGCTGGGTATGTGTAAGGCTTGGGATACTTGCTTGGACGAGGAAATAGATGGCATCAATGTGATCAATCCCTTCAACACTACTGCTATTGAGAAACGTGCGGATTGATTCGGTTATCTTTTCATCTTGTTTTATTCCTCTGGTGTCTCCAAAGCCAGGAGTATCCACAATAGTTAGGGTGTATGGCACCTGGGAAACAAATTTAGTAAAAAAATGAACATTAGTCTATTGCATAAGTTAACATTAGCAACTTTATCGGGGATTTTTCTCTTCCGACCAATGGAATTGGGTAAACAACATATGAGTGTACATAATAAACAGAAGTACAACACTTGGTGGAAGTGATTCAAACGTTTCATCTTATCAGTACACCTAGTAATTATTAAAATTTCCGCAATGAAAAGAACAATTCCTACATGTTGCAAAACGTCAAAATTTCGATGTATTTCTTTACTTTAAGTAGGTTGTAATGACGACCATTACATTACATTATTATTCAGCCCACTCCCCATTGGGGCTTTTCAGTGCGATTACATCAATTACGCTTACTTATCTTACCTACTTAACTTAGACTATTTATCTTAACAACAATTATGATATTACTTTCCCAAGTGTGCTTATCCTAACCCGCCCTGCAAACTTGCCCTGTGGGAGGAAACCAGAGCGCCCGGAGAAAACCGACGATTTTCGGCAGAATGTTAAAAGCAGACTAGTCTTTTCACATGAGTCCGTAGTGAGAATCTGACTGACGACCTCAGAGGTGAAAGGCGCTTGCTCTGACGACTGCGCCACCGAAGCCCCCAAGTGTCGGAATGTGTTACACTTAGTGGTATGTGAGCATTACTATTCTATTTCCTACTACTGTAGAATTACATAGCTATTTCTTACTACTGTAGAAGGAATGCACCAAAATGATATGTGAAATACACACCAAGCCACAGGATATCGTTGATATAAGGTTCAGATATTTATTATGGTTATAACAGTATAGTCTAGGACCTGTATATGAGTTTGTATGCGATTCATTTAGGACAGGTAATCTCAACTGTTTTAGGGTAAAATGACCATGGCGGTCAACATGGCATATGTGCGAAAACCTGAATCCGGGACGAAAGTCCTGAAAATGACCCCGCCCTGAAACGGCAGTGTCGACATACCTCTAACTTCCAAAAAGGAAAAGCGATAGCCTTTCTGAAGTGCATATAGTGTTTAGAAGGGTTGCTTTTAGGGGTGGTCATTGGAAGGAAAAATTTGTCTAAGTATAATATTTTACCAGAAAATGACTATGCACCACCCCAGGTAAATTGCTGATTATGCACAAAATAACTAATATGTCTGGCAGAAATTAAACTTTCTTATTTCCTAAAAGAAATTATCATGGGATGAAAAACTATGCTTATTTCAACATAATTAGTGTGGATTTCATAAGGATTGTCATTGTTTTCTTTTAATATAATACATATTATTTCACTTACCCCCCACGAAAACACGATTTCAGCCATATTTTGCCGTCTTGTTTGCTTTTTATCGCCGAGTCTTGCAAATATCATCCAGTTGTTGTACTTTTACATAATCATAAAGGGCTAAAGAATATTTCAACCAAATTTCATCAAGTTGTGAGACAGCGCAGTGTATTTTATCTTCGATATTGTTGTCCTTCGATATTTCGTCAAATTGCCGCCATTTTAATGGGTCGCCGCTTCTCTGTCCGATAAATGCCACTTCTTCGTTTTCATATGTATTTAGATTACATTATCCAATAGTACTTCATTGTAGAATAGTCCCAATCGAAAAATTGACAGCATTTGTCCCATTCGGAAGGAAAAACCCTCCCGTATACCATTAAGGTTCAAAATAGAAAACAAATCATTTGAAAGTGACGCGCAATCTTCGCGAAAACGGGGGGGGGGGGGGGGGGGGGGTGAATATTTTCACAAAACGTTTGTTCGCCACAAATACAATATATTTAGTTATGTTTCTGTGGTGGCGAACAAACGTTTCGTGAAAATATTCATCCCCATGTCATGTGTCCACAAGAAGTTTTCGCGAAGATTGCGCGTGCCTTTCAAATGATTTGTTTATTATTTTGAACCTAAATTGTATACAGGGAGGGGTTTTCCTTCCAAATGGTACAAATGTTGTCAATTTTTCGATTGGGACTATTCTACAATGAAGTACTCTTGGATACTGTAATCTAAATACATATGAAAACGAAGAAGTATCATTTATCGGACAAAGAAGCGGCGAGCCATTAAAATGGCGGCAATTTGATGAAATATCGAAGGACACAATATCGAAGGTAAAATACACTGCACTTGTCTCTCAACTTGATGAAATTTGGTTGAAATATTTTTTAGCCCTTTATGATTATGTAAAGGTACAACAACTGGATGATATTTGCGAGACTCGGCGATAAAAAGGAAACAAGACGGCAAAATATGGCTGACATCGTGTTTTCGTGGGGGGTAAGTGAAATAATATGTATTATATTAAAAGAAAACAATGACAATCCTTATGAAATCCACAATAATTATATTGAACTAAGCATAGTTTTTCATCCAATGATAATTTTTTTTAGGAAATAAGAAAATTTAATTTCTCCCAGGCATATTAGTTATTTTGTGCATAATCAGCAATTTACCTGGGGTGGTGTATAGTCATTTTCTGGTAAAATATTATACTTAGACAAATTTTTCCTTCCAATGACACCCCTAAAACCAACCCTTCTGAACACTATAAGCACTTCAGAAAGGCTATCGCTTTTCCTTTTCGGAAGTTAGAGTTATGGCGACACTGCCGTTTCAGGGCGGGGTCATTTTCAGGACTTTCGTCCCGGATTCAGGTTTTCGCACATATGCCATGTTGACCGCCATGGTCATTTCACCCTAAACAGTTGAGATTACCTGTCCCAAATGAATCGCATACAAACTCGTATATATAAAAAGGAATGGATCCAATGGATTTTAGTTATATAAAAAAATAGATCCGATGGATTCAATGGATCTAATGGATTTTAGTTATATAAAAAAATGGATCCGATGGATTCAATGGATCCAATGGATTTTAGTTATATAAAAAAATGGATCCGATGGATTCAATGGATCTAATGGATTCAATGGATGTTAGTTATATAAAAAAATGGATCCGATGGATTCATTGGATTCAATGGATCTAATGGATCCAATGGATTTTAGTTATATAAAAAAAATGGATCCGATGGATTCAATGGATCTAATGGATCCAATGGATTTTAGTTATATAATCCATTGGATCCACCGGATCCATTTTTTTATATAACTAAAATCCATTGGATCCATTAGATCCATTGAATCCTTCGGATCCATTTTTTTTATATAACTAAAATCCATTGGATCCATTAGATCCATTGAATCCAATGAATCCATCGGATCCATTTTTTTTTATATAACTAAAATCCATTGGATCCATCAGATCCATTGAATCCATCGGATCCATTGAATCCATCGGATCCATTTTTTTTTATATAACTAAAATCCATTGAATCCATTTTTTTTTTATATAACTAAAATCCATTGGATCCATTGAATCCATCGGATCCATTTTTTTTATATAACTAAAATCCATTGGATCCATTAGATCCATTGGATCCATTGAATCCATCGGATCCATTTTTTTATATAACTAAAATCCATTGGATCCATTGAATCCATCGGATCCATTTTTTTTATATAACTAAAATCCATTGGATCCATTAGATCCATTGAATCCATCGGAT